TTACTTCTCTCACCGGCTGCAGCCCCTTTACTTCTCTCACCCGCTCCATCCCCTTTACTTCTCTCACCCTCTCTATCCCCTTTACTTCTCTCACCCGCTGCATCCCCTTTATTTCTCTCACCCGGTCCATCCTCTTTAATTCTCTCATCCACTCCATTCCCTAATGTGCCCAGGTCAAGAGAAGAATGGCAGTTAGACACCTCTGTCAGAATCTGAAAATGATTTGATTTACATGTGTTGATATTATATGAGCATTGTTTACAGCTGAGTTCTAAGTCCTGAACCTCCTGCTGAGATAGCGTTTGGAAATGCCCAGTACACTGTTTGTCCCAAATTAAGCACTCAAAAATTAGTTGAGTCTTCTGCCCTGAGTCCTGTCCTGGGACTGGCTTTCATTGGGCCTGGTAAGTGGTGCTGGAGAGCAGCCAGAAATAGACAAGCATAATAAACTTGTTTGTCTATGGTAGGGTATGTTATTTTAGATTGATAGTGTTGAGCTTACTATTCTGTAGTAACAAACCTTCAAACAAACTGATTTTTGTATCAAACTTGTACAGAATGACACATGCTAAGCACGGTATTAGGCACTCTAGAAGAATATAAGTGGGATAAAAATTACCATCCCTACATACTAGTGGGAAAGACAAAACATATCCGAATGAAGATTGTGACAACAGTTGCAGCATACCCAAAAGCACATTCATTAACTCCGTTGCCGTCGAGTGGATTTTGACTCATAGTGACCCTAAAGGACGGAGTAGAACTGCCCCATAGAGTTTTCAAGGCTGTAATCTGTACAACCACAGACTGCCATAGCTTTCTCCCATGGAGTGGCTGGTGGGTTTGCCAACCTTTCAGTAAACAGCTGAGCGCTTAACCACTGCACCACCCAAACCAAAACACCCACTGCCGTCAAGTCAATTCTGACTCATAGTGACCTTATAGGGCAGAGTAGAACTGCCCCATAGGGTTTCTAAGGCTGGAAATCTTTATGGAAGCAGACTGCTACATCCTTCTCCTTCAGAGTGGCTGGTGGGTTCGAACCACTGACCTTTTGGTTAGCAGCCAAGCACTTTAACCACTGTGCCACTAGGGCTCCTTAAAAGTACATCATTAGTATAAAATGATGTCTAAACTAGAACATTCAGGGCACTGGCTATGGAAAGAGCACTGGAGTCGTAGTTAGAAAACCTTTTTCAGCCCCTGTCATGCTACCTATTGTGTGCCCTTTAGAGAGTCACTTAATCTCCCAAACATCATTTTTGTCATTATGGTAACATCTGACAGGTGCACAGTCTTACAGAGTCATTGATTAATTGGTTGATTTAATACTTACGGTAGGTTCTGGACTAGTCACTGGGGAATACATAGAAAGCTAAGATGTGGTGCCCGTCCTTGAGTTGTTCACAGTAGTGTCACTACTTTGTGAACAAACATTATATGCTGTACAAGTGCTGTAGTAAGCGGTATTACATAAAATGCTTTGGGAACTCGGAAGAGAATAATTCTGCCCAAGGCTACTAGAATAGGCTTTAGAAAGACGATATCCTTGAGTCAGGCCTTGAAAAACTAGTAGGAATTTGCCTATTGGATTAAGAAGGGGTGAAGTGCACTCTAGTAACAGGGACAAGCATATGTAAAACATTAGAACCACGGGAATAAGATGCGTGTTTAGAAAATGGCTGACAGTGAGGCTAGAATGTACAGTATGGGAAGGCATGGAGTCCCTGGAGATGAGGCTGTAAAAGTTAAATGAGGTCACATTGTGAAATGAATGTGACAGTTTGGTTAGGTAATTGATTATATGAACTTTGGAAAAATACCTTGGTTCAAAACCTGTGCCACTTACCTTTGTGGTAAGATCAGAGTTTTAATCTCCCTCGGTCTTCTTTTCCTCATCTCTAAAAGAGAGCTAATTATATTGACCTTGTAGAGTTGTTCAGAGTCCCTGGGTGGTTAATCGTTTGGCTGCAGTTCGAGTCCACCCAGAGGCACCTTAGAAGAAAGACCTAGCAGCTTGCTTTTGAAAAACAGCCATTGAAAATGCTATGGATCACAGTTCTAGTCAAATACACATGGGCTTGCTATGAGTTGGAATCCACTCAACAGCAACTGGTTACAGAGTTGTTAAGAATTAAAAGTAGTAGGCATTTACCACATGGTATGCACTCAAATGATGTCTAAATTATATGTCAGAATTATAATTATGATTGTTGTTATTTTAAGAAATTTGAACTTTATCCTATTGTCAGTAGGGAGCTGCTGAAGAGTTTTAAGTGGAGAAGTATTTTCAGCAGAGAGATACATGTTTTAGAGAAATAATTATTGGCATGGATTGGAGTAGGGAGATTAGAATGGTTGCAGTGGAAACAGAGAAGGGGCTTAATTGCTGTTTTGAAGGTTGAATCATCACACCTAGTGATGATGGATGTAGGGACTGAAAGAGAGGTTTTCGGCAGGA